GCTCCACTTTTTTTTCCACATTTTTTTTTGCCCCTGAGCTGTGGGGAAAAAAGCAGAGCAGCGCACACATGGGCAGCGTTCCCTTGCAGCATGGAGAGCGGTATGTGGAGCTGCAGACGTTTCTGCGGCACCACATACTGCATGGCTGCGCTCTTCTGGATGTGGTCAATGAGTACCCAGTTGAAATCTCTGGGTTTATCTTGTGAATCGTGCTTGCACACAGAGCCAGCCTTAGGGAAAATGGCACCCTTGGTGAACTTGAATTTTAGTGCCCCTCCAATGTCCCCCCCACAATTACTGGCATTGCTGCTCTGCAGCAGAGATGCTCCATCTGACCGGCTAGGAAGCTGGGCAGGACATCTGCCTGTGGCAGGGACTGCTGGATGCAGCCACGTGGAGCTGAAGCAGAGGAGCAGTAGCTGTGATGAGTGGCCAGTGAGTCTGGCATGGGGGTTCCAATGCCCTGTGGTCACCACAGAGCTCCTCCAGGGCCCGACCCAACTAGCCACATGCAGGCAAGACTCACCGGAGCCCTCTCTTGCTCCCCTCTGTGGGCTGCCAGCCCCAACCCAGGGCCTCCTGCATGTGCTGCCCTTCCCTGCCCTGCCTCATCCCAATCCCAGTGTTGCCAGAGGCCCAAGCAATGCACCAGGCCAGTACTGCTACCTGCCACTCACTGCACCTGTGTGTGTGTGTATATGTATATGTGTGCATGGCAGCCTTCTGACCACAACACCCTGGGCAGTCACCCACACTGCCCACCCGTAAGGTTGGTTCTGCTTGCACATCCAACCATACCAACATCACAGGGCACCCTGTGGGGAAAGACCTGCAACTTCTGCGATGTGGCTCTAGGATTGGACTCTGAATTCACCTCTTGGCCAATGAATGAGCCGTGGTAGAGATCACCCTCAAATTGAGGGATTGCCGACCCAGTGACACCCTTGAAAGGTTCTCGGGGCACCCCAGGGGGCTGTGGCACCCTGCTTGAGGATCTCTGGCAGAAACTAAGAACAGGAACCAATGCTGAAACTCCACCACTCTCTCTAATATGGCATCAGAGACCAACTTCCACATCTGAGCCATTGCGTGGCACTGTGACTCAGTGTGAGGGTTCCATCTTCCCCGTGCAGGCACTGGCAAAGCTTGCAGCTTCCTAGTCAGTGCCCTGCTGTCAGGGCTGGCCCACAATTTGTGGGGGCCTCCGCCAGAAGTAGTTTTAGGGCCCCCTGCCCTGAAGAAGCCGGCACCAGTGACAGCAGTGGCAATGGAGGGAGGGTGTGGGGGCGGGGGTGGTAAGTGACCGGATGTGAAGCTGGCAGTGGCAGCAGCGGCAGGGGATGGCGAACCGCCAAAGGCGGCGGCGGCGGAGGGGATGGGGGTGGCAAGCGGCTGGACACAGGGTGCCCCTTAGCTGCGGGGCCCCCTGCAATCACAGGTTTCGCAGTATAGGATGGGCCGGCCCTGCCTGCTGTTTGCTGGCACAGCGGGGTTGTCCCAGATGATCATTGGGTGAAGGGTTGTCTTGCAGCTCGCAGCCTCTTTAGGCTGGAACTAATGATAAATGTACTTAGCGTCGTCAAGTCTTACATATGAAATTATTGTATTGAAAGCTCAAAATTATTGTATTTGCTGGAAAAAACTATGGTTACACTGAAAAATTATGCAAGTAAGTATGCAAATAAGCCTTCTTCTTATTTACGTTATATTGATCACTATCAGTTGCCAGTGAATGAGTGAGAACTGGGTCATCAGAGTTAAATCATTTCTTTATTTTGAGGCAAGCAGTCATAAGAAAGTGCCGACAGCAAACCCAAAAGTTGGATAAGATTCCCTGAGAGTGACTTGGGCTTCACATAGGCTGCATCAATTAGCTACCTCCAAAACTATCCTACGTTTTGAACACTTTTACTATTGTTGATTGTACCAGGGTTGGAATTATCATACAAATATGATAATTATTGTATACCTGGCAGCATTGAAAGGGTGTTTGTTGTAGCCGTGTTGGTCTAAGGACATAGGCAGGCAAGGTTCTTTGGGTAGATGTGATCTCTTCTAAATAGTTGGAAAAAAAGTTTGTTGCAAGCTTTCAGGCACAAACACTTTTCTTCAGTCAATGGAAGACTCATAACCAGGGATCCTGGTTTTCTCTGATTGAAAAAAAATATCCCCAATTTTTGGGTTAAACAAGTAACCCAAAATCCAAATTTTTCTGTGACCAAAATGAAACACCACTATATCTATATATCTCTATATATCTTTATCTATAGATTTCATAGATTTTTAGGGTCTGAAGGGACCTTACTAGATCAAGTCCGACCCTCTGCCCTGGGCAGAAAAGAGTGCTGGAGTCAGATGACCCCAGCTAGGTGCTTGTCTGTATCTATCTATCTATACACAGAGAGAGAGAGAGAGAGAGAGAGAGAGAGAGAAACCCCAAATACACATTTTTCTGTGATCAAAATGAAACGCCACTCTATCTATACATCTATATAGATCTAGCTCTCTCTATATATATCTATAGACATCAGCAACATGTAGGGGGTGCACGTGGGTGCACGTTCACCCCCCAAGATTGGCGGTGCATCTCTTGTGACTGGCTGCTGCCACTGGCGCCTGCGGGCAGTTGCCACTCTCCATCCCCTCCTCCCCCCAACCCTCGCTGCCGACTCCGCCAGTGGTGCCTGTGGGTGGTTGCCGACTGCTAATCAGAGTTTGCCACCCCCCCCACTGCCGACACTGCCACGGCTGCCTGCGGGAGCTCCCTGCGGGGGTTGCCGTGCCCCCCCAGCCTCTGGGGGCACGTGTTGTTCGTGTCTATAGATCTAGTGGTGTTTCATTTTGATCACAGAAATATGTGGCTCTCTCTCTCTCTCTGCATCTATAGATATAGAGATCAATATATATCCATCTTAAAAAAAGTAACCCCAAATCCACATTTTTTCCATGATCAAAATGAAACTCCACTATATGTATATGCACGTACAAAAGCCAACTTGCTAAATAGGTACTTTGCATCGGTCTTTCACGAGTCCCATGAGACACCCCAACCCATTACGAGACAGGGAGGCCCGGGTGAGGGAGATTCCTTACCCTCCATCAATGCTGACCTCATGAAGGAACACCTTGAGAGGCTGGACACCTTCAAGTCAGCTGGCCCTGACAGTTTATACCCCAGGGTACTCAAGGAGCTGGCTAGCATCCTAGCTCAGCCCGTGGCACGGATCTTCGAGAACTCCTGGTGCTCTGAAGTGCCTGATGATTGGAAGAAGGCCAATGTGGTGCCTATCTTCAAGAAAGGGTGGAAAGTGGATCCGGCAAACTATGGGCCCATCAGCCTGACCTCTATCTTGGGGAAGGTCTTAGAAAAGATTATCAAAGAGGCCATTCTTAGCAGACTGGCTGATGGCAACACGGGTTGGTTGCGGGTAGGTCTTGTTTGCCCAATCTCATTTCCTTTTACGACCAGGTGACCTATCACCTGGACAAGGGAGAAGACTGATGTCATATATCTTGACTTTAAAAAAGCCTTTGATCTGGTATCCCATGATCACCTCTTAGCAAAACTGGCCAACTGTGGCCTCAGATCCACCATGATCCGCTGGCTGGGGAATTGGCTCTGTGGTTGGACCTTGAGGGTGGTGGTTGACGGAAGTCAATCGTCATGGTGCCCTGTGACCAGCTGGGTCCCTTAAGGCTCTGTCCTTGGGCCTATACTATTCAATATCTTCATTAATGATATGGACATTGGTATCAGAAGTGGACTGGCTAAGTTTGCCGACAACACCAAACTCTGGAGTAAAGCATCCACACCTGAGGACAGGAGGGTGATCCAGGCTGACCTTGACAGGCTCAGGAAATGGGCAGATAAGAACTTGATGGTGTTTAACACCAAAAAATGCAAGGTTCTCCACCTTGGGAAGAAAAGCCTGCAGCATGCTTATAGGCTCGGCAGTGCTACGCTGGCTAGCACTACGGACAAATGGGACTTGGGGGTCGTGATTGACCACAAGATGAATATGAGCCATCAATGTGATGCTGCGACTAGTAAAGTGAGCAAAACGCTGGCTTGCATCCACAGATGCTTCTCAAGCAAATCCCAGGACGTCATTCTCCCCTTGTACTCAGCTTTGGTGAGGGTGCAGCTGGAGTACTGCATCCAGTTTTAGGCTCCACAATTAAAAAATGATGTGGAGAAGCTTGAGAGGGTGCAGAGGAGAGTCATGCGCATGATCAGAGGTCAGGAAAACAGACCTTACGATGAGAGGCTGAGAGCTATGGGACTCTTCAGCCTGGAAAAGCGCAGGCTCGGAGGTGATCTGGTGGCCCCTAAGTTTATCAGGGGTGCTCACTAGGATCTGGGGGAACGTTTGTTCACCAGAGTGCCCCGAGTCATGACGAGGTCGAAGGGTCACAAACTCCTCCATGACCATTTCAGGCTGGACATAAGAAAGAACTGAGCCTCCAAGGCCTGGAACAGCCTGCCACCGGAGGTGGTTCAAACACCTACCTTGAACGCCTTCAAGAGACATTTGGATGCTTTTCTTGCTGGGATCCTATGACCCCAGCTGACTTCCTGCCCTTGGGGCAGGGGGGGGGGGTCACTGATCTTTTTTCTGAGGTCCCTTCCAGCCCTAATGTCTAGGAATCTATGTATCTATACACTAGTGGCGGTTCATTTTGATCATGGAAAAATGTAGAGTTTGGCTTACCTTTTTTAACCCCAAATTAGGGATTTCTATTTATTTTTTTGTTATCAGAGGCTCCTGGATATTCCTACTGCCTGAAGAAGGGTGCTAACGCCTCGAAGCTGGCAGAAGAACTCCCCCCCCCAAGTTAGTCGGTCTGATACAAGCGCTCCCATCTCCGCGGAGACCCTCGCCCAGCGGGGCTGACTGGGACGAGGGAGAGGGGCTCTGCTCCCAGCTAGTGGCGCCCATCCCACCCCTGGGGCTGGCCCGAGGCCACGGGAGGCGCGGAGCAGCGCCGCCCCGAGGAGCAGGGGCCGCTCCTTTGTCTCGTCCCCCGCCCCCGGCGCCGCGCCGGACGCTGCCCGCGGCTGCCTTTCCCGGGGCTGCGGCGGGGGTCCCGCCGCGCAGGAGCCCGAGCCCGGAGCAGCCGCCGCCTCATTAGCAGCGTCCCGCGGCCGCAGAGCGGCTGCAGCTGGGAAGATGGCGAGTCGCCCCTGCCTCCTGCTCCTGCTCGGCGCCTTGGGGGCTCTTAGCTGTAAGTGGCGTGCTTCCCTCCCTCCCGGGGGCCTTGCTGGGACCCCTCCAGCCGTGCACGGGCCGGGAGAGCCGGGTGGGGGGGGTCCCGCTCTTCGCCTCCCTCCGCCGCTCGGGCAGGGAGCGCGGGACGGCCGGTGCGGCGGCGGGGTCCCTGCCGCCCCCTCACGCCTCGCAGCCGCAGGGTCCTGGAGAGGGAGGGGTAACAAATGCTGCTTGCTTGCTTGTTTTCACGCTCTCGTTTTCGTTTTCATGTTTCATGGCACTTCTGCCTCCAGGCAGCAGCTGCTCCAGAGCCCTAGGGGAAAAGGAGAGTGGGAAGGGACCTGTGCAGGTCATTTAGTGCAGCCCCCTGCTCCAAGCAGGACCAGCCCCAACTAAGTCATTCCAGACAAAGCTTTGTCATAGCAGGCCTCCAAGGATGGAGAGTCTGCCACCTCTCTGGGCATGGGGGACTGGTGCTGCCTTAGTCAGGGGGGCACATGATATCCCCCCACCCCCCCAATGTTGCCTGGGTCTCCCCTGGCTGATTGCACGACTCCCCTGCAAGTCCCCACTCCCCAGCTGGCACTTGCAGGGGGGCACTGGCGCTCCCACCTGCACCCCTGCCCATCGCTTGAGTGGGGAGTGTAGCCTGACAGGGGGTGCACGCATCACCGCGGTCTCTGGGGAGCCGGTTCCCATGTTTCACTACATTCCTAGGGAGAAAGTTTTTCCTAATATCCAACCTCAACTTCCCTTGCTGCAGCTTGAGACCGTTACTCCTTGTTTTATAGATGATCTTGTAAGGTCCCTTCCCAGCCCCAGCATCAGGTTCAGTCCCCCTGCACTTAGGCAGGAAAGACTGCTGGGGTCAGATGACCCTAGCAAGGCGAGTGGAAAGATGCTTTTTGAAGATTGCGGGGGTGGGTGACTGTGCCACCTCTGTCATCTGCTACCACTGAAAAGTCTCTCTTTTCCAGTGCTTTACTGCCCTGCTCCTGAGAGCATTTTTCTCTAACTTAAACTCCCTCTTCAAAATCATTCGATTCCTAGAACATGAAGGTTGGAACGGACATCAGCAGGTTATCTAGTGCAGTCGTTCTCAACCTTTTTTGTATTGGGACCCATGTGTAAACATCGATGGACAGTCCTGACCCAATGCTGCTCGCTCCTGAGCCACTGCCCCTGTTCCAGGCCCCAGCCCTGCAGTGTGTGGGGCAGGGGGTGAGTGTATGCGAGGCATGGAGAGCCCCAAGCAGCCCCTTAGAGGCTAGGACTCCGCCAGCCTGCAAGAGGAAAGCCATGGTTTCCCACATTTTTTTCTCCTTTAAAGGAGAATCCATTTTTTAAGTTGGTTGATCCATTTTTAAAGTTTGTTCATGACTCTTTCATATATTCTTGCAACCTGCTTTTGGGTTGCAACCCATGGGTTGAGAAACACTGATGTAGTCCAACACTGTTCAAAGCAGGACCATCCTTAACTAGATCATCCCAGCTGAGGCTTTGTTTAGCCAGGCCTTAAAAATCTCTGTGGTTCTCTTGCCATTGGGAGGGGGGGGTGTCTCACCCTAACAGGGCTCACATTGCTTTTGAAAGGATCTCAAGGCACCCCTGGGTGCTGTAGCAACCCGGAGGAACATACTGGTGACACTGGAAGACATCCAGCAGAGCAATTAGAAACTCAAGCAGCTTTTTCCCCATGAAACCAACCTGCTTAGTTGTCCCCTAGGTTCTTGTTGCTGCTGCCATCCCGGTGGAAGCTGAGTGGCGCTTGGTGTAATCAGCAGTATAATGCAAATGTTGCCTTTCTTAATACCGAGCTGATTTCTGCATTCCTTTAATCCCCATAGCTGCTTATAGTCCTAGGTAGCTTTAGTACAGCTTCAGGTCAGACCCCAGAGTCTGAAACTATTCTTCTCCTTGACTCCAGCAGCCGAAGCCAAAATATGTACCCAGCATAGAAAGAAGAACAAACGATAGCTTCAGCACAACTGCGGGGAGCATATAGTGAAGCTATTGTTTGCTCTTTCTTTGTTCAATACATATTTTAGCTTTTAGATGCCGGCAGTCAAGGAGAACAATAGCTTGGGTCTCTTGGGACCTGATCTGATGTTCAACTACGGTTGTTGGAGCTCCACACTCATATGCAGCCTGTTAAGCAGGCTTGTGGTTAACCATGATAGTGCTTTTACCCAGTAATGCAGCTTTTCCGAATATTATTTTTTCCTAGAAATTAACAGGTGGGAGCCAAATATTTTTGCATTTCTGTGAAGTGGTTTGAATGCATTATGCCAATAGAAAAACAAAACTGGATCTTGCAAGTTCAGAAACCAGCACAGGTGTTTTTGTTACTTTTGAATCATTTTCTCAGCTCACTAAAAAAGAACAAGAAAGGGCATAATAAAATGAATCTGAAAAAGCTTGCCTGATCTAGAGGGCAGGCTGAAAGTAAGTGTGAGATACCAGAAGATATGAAAACACAGCTGTAGATAAACGGTAGATTAAAATGCAGCAAAATATGTCAGGCATCTGATAAGACAGTATCATGTGTAGAACTTATTTTACTGCATGCCCAAGATATCGTATCAGGCATCCTGGTGCCTCCTTAAATGTTCTCACTTTAGCAAGGAGATTTAATATCTGTTTCTTATTATATAAACAGTCTTGGGATGTTTGGGATGTTTGTAGCAGAATCTTGCTAATTTAACATGGCCAGCTATGGTTATACCTTCTGAGGTATATCCTTATATATCAATAGTAGTCTCTGAGGTTTCCATCTACATGGTTGTCCCTGTCCTGTCTGAACATGGAAGGAAATGAAGTCTTCGGTTTCCTTTAGTGGTGGGGTTGGGTCAGAGATGAAAAAGATGGCCACGGTCGTACACAGTATTGGTTCTTCCCTTTTCTCATTCTCCTAATACTTCTGTCGGTAAGACTTATACACCTAATAAATCAGTCTTTCTATATTTGTGGTCAAGTATGGGGTTTGGTGGTCAGTTTCTTTTGGTGGGGGCCTACCCTTAATTTAACTTCCTGCCTTTCTAGTTTTTGGAAAGAGGTTTAAAAGAACATCCATGTTCTTTTAAACTGTGATACACAGTCACAGTTTTCCCTCCATCTTAATGCGCCTTTTTTTTTTTTCTTCAAATCTCCCTTTTGGATGGGTGGGAGTAGAGAACTGACTGAAGTTGCAGGGATGTGGCAAACCTTACCCTATGTATACTGATGATGCCAGAGTAAACTCCTTAAGAGTTGGTATTCTTCAGGTGGTGTGATAGTACCCCAGAGTCCTCATAGGGCTCCTGAGTTCTCCAGGTAGCAGATACAGATCTACAGGAATGAGCGTAATCATCCTACTAGTATTGTTAGTGGACTGGTGGACAAGCACTACTGAATGTGCAAGTGCACCAGATCTCTTTATAAAGCATCCCAAAATCATTAATCTGACTTTCCTCATGCAGGTGTATCTGAGGAGTAACTTCACTGAAGTAAATGAAATTACATTTTTCTGAATCTGATTCTCCTTTCATTTTCACCAGATACTCTGGCCACATAAGGATCATAAAAGACAGTAAAGAATATGTTCAGTAAATTTTCCAAGTTGCAATTGAAACTCGGAGAGCTAGTCTGATAGAATCATAGAAAAACACTTTTAATTCAGAACTGAATAATCTCAGAACGCGTACTTCTAGTTCTTGAAAATAGTCTTATTTGCACTCGGGCGTTACCAGTGCCTTTTTACCAAATATGGAGTGACTATGTCAAAACACCTTGCAGATAAAATGTGATGGAAAAAAAAAAAACTATCTGTGAAGTGAGATCATTTTATTTGCTCAACTTCTATAGTCCAGAGAAATGAGAGCACCTTTCAGGTTTTGAGCAACCTTCATGAAGTCTGGGGAAGAGGTCATTGCAATCTAAGCCAAGTGTCAGGAGTCAGGGAACCAGGCTGGCTAATTAACTTCCAGCTGGCCTTGTTTGAGTGGGCATGACTGCCTGTGGCCCAGTTACTTCCATGTAAACCCAATTGCCTGCATGAGCATGGTTGTCTGCTTACAAGCAGCAGCTCTTGCACTACCTAGCAGGCTACTCAACAGAGCAGAAGCTTCTTTGTTTAATTTTGGGCTTCTGACTTATCATTTCTGATAGCTTGGATCCCTGCTTCGTTACTGCTGACACCTTGCTCCAGTCTGGACCCCTGCTTCTGACCCCTGACTTTGTCTATTCCTGACCCCCTGGCTTGTGGCTCTTTGGGGTTAAGCCCTGACTGTTCATGCCTCTGTTGTTCTAACTTGTACTAGGGGTCAAGTAAGTTTTAATGAACTTAGAAGGGAGTTGCGAGTCACATTTGAGGTGGTGAGCAGAGTTGAGACTTCCAAGGCTGAACCTGCAGAGAGGAGCAGCCAAAGTGAAGGACCTCTAGCAAGGGCTTCCCTACCCTGCCAGTACAGTTGTAATCACTTTATTTAGGAAAGATGGCACATCTCCTAAGGGCAAGGGATGGACCTAGCCAGAGTTTAACCCTTTGAAAACAATCTGGAGGTATAATGGAGTATGCTGACTATGCCACATTAGCCACTAACAACCATAAAAGGATACCTGTTTTTGCTATAGGGGGAAGTAATTGTTTTTTGGTGGGGGTGATTAGGATTTTTTTTTGGTAATTTGTTTTGTTTCTGTTTTTTAACGCTGAAATATAATTATGCCACAATTATGGCCACAATTTTTAGAAGCTTTCTTTCAGTATACCAGTATAGTTTCTTACTCTTCCTGTATTAGGGTTGCCAACTCTCCCATGTTGCCGATTCTGACAGACTCCCAGTCATTGATCTTTCAGTGACTGTTGAAAGCAATCCGGGAGATTTTAATAGGCTATTTTAAGAAAATACATTCAATTAATGACACTATGTCATGTTGAGGAAAAAAATCTCCTGGAATAGCTTCAGTCAGAGTTGGCAACCCTGTCCTGTATGGAAACACAGGACATGGCACACGTTCTGTGACGTGGCTTGGATGATG